CCGGGGGCACCCACAGGCAGGGCTGAGGCTAGCCAGGACCCTTGAAGGTGGCCCCACAGTGCTCTGGGATGAAGCCCAGTGGCCAGGGGCCCGCCCCGGCCACCCCCCAGCTCCTGCAGCGCTGCACGGCCCTTATTCTAACCGTGGGTTCCAGCCTCTCGCTCTTGCCCTCACCGCATCCCTGGCCTGGCGCACGTCTCTCCTCACCCCCTCTACCTGCCTCATTCTGACTCCCCTGCCGGACCGAACCCGCCCAGTGCTCACCTCCCTGAGTGCCTGGAGGGGCTTGGTGGCTTTCGAGGGTGGCTCCCAGCCCCGGGTCTCCCCTTGGTGGCATGCAGGGGGTCATATTCTACATCACGCCATGGGGCCCTGGGGACCCCTGGCCTGTCCCCCACCCCGCATGGCCTCATCTCTGTAGCCCAGAATGGGCCTGGGTCCCCCCATAGCAGATGCCCTTGCTGTTCTTTTGTTTGGAGGACGGTGTGGGTAAGCGGAGAAGGAGGCTCGGTACAACCAGTAGCCGGCCTCCGCCTCCAGACGGGACCGGAGCCACGGCCATGGGCAAGAGCATAGAGCTGTGGGGGTGGCTCTGCTGTCATGGACAATTGTCACCTCGGACACCCTCACCAGCTGCCCAAGACCCTGTCTCCTGCGTCCCGCCCTGTGGAGGAATGCTGACGTCCCTCCTGGCTCTGCCTCCATGGCAGGCTGGGCCTCCAAGCCCTCCAGTCCCCCTGGGAGGTCCATGGCTCCCCTCCCCACCACTAGGCTGCCATCTCTGGGCTGTGTGCGGCGTCCTGCTTCCTGTCCCCAGTGGCTCAGGTCGTATCTGCCCATAGCATGAGGTCACTAATTATTTGCCGGGCAGATAATTAGTGGATCCGTTAGCCCCAGGCTCACGCTGAGTTTTTCAGGAATTTTAGGTGTGTTTGGGGGAGTCGGGTGGGGAAGGCAGCTGCAGATGGCCCCTGGGGTCAGGAAAGGGACATGCCGGGGGCGCGGGCATGCTTCTCTGTGCCCTGACGTCATCTCCAACCCAACCCAGGGGAACTGGGACATCACGACCGATGTCTTCCCAGGCCAGCGTTATCATCCAATTTCAGGCAGACGGCAGAGTTAAGGGGTGGGGGAGGGGCTGGCTCAGTCTGTTCTATATTTGGCCCTGGCACATAACACAGCCCGAGAGTGCCTGGGGGGGGGGGGCGCTGTGCCTGCAAAGCTGATTATGAGGAAGGGTGGGGCCGGCCCAAGCATGCGGCAAGCCGGAGGTGGACCCGTGGGGCTGAGCCTCACCCACCGCCTGCCGCCAGCTCCCGTGAACTCCAATAACGTGGCCAAGCTGGGGTGCGGGTGGGGTGGCAGATGCTGCACCGCCAGAATGTGTTGCTGGCACCTGTGACGGGGACCAGATTCCACACAGCACCCAGGGAGGCTGGGGACGTGTGCAAAGAGGCCCCGAGGAGGTGGGAACGAGCACATCTTGTGGGCCGGGGGAGGGGGGCGGGGAGGGGGGCCGGCAGTGTGAATTGAGGAAGGGACTCTCTCTGCAGCTTTAGCTGTCGCTTCCTGGGGAGGCCTGCTGCTCCAGTTCTCTGCCTCCTTTCTGGAAACATCACCCTGCTCTGCCTCTGAGGCCCCCAGACTCCACTCTAAGCACACGCGGTCCAGGCAGGGCTGACACCACCTCTCAGATCCAGGGCTGAACCTCAGCCCCAGCCTGGACTGCAGCCCCAAGCCCCGAGCCCTGGGCCTTGGTGACGGACTGCTTGCCACGGCTGGGCAGGGGGCGTGTCCTGAGCCTGTGTTGGAAGTGCTGGAAATGAGATGTTCTTTCTCCAGGGGGCTTAGAGCAGGGCACCCCGAGAGGTGGAGAGGGCATCTCAGAATGAAGCCAGGGCCAAGGAAAGCAGAACGAGAAAGACGGGACAAGAAAGAACGAGTTGGATTGACACGGTGCGTCTGGACCCAGCCATACCTGAAGCTCCCCTCTTGGGCCCCTGTGATGGAATATCAACAGGTTCCCTTTGAGCTGAGTTTCTGTCCTTTGCAAGCCACAGCCTGACTTAATGATCTTCGGTCCAGCCAGGCAAGCTTCCAGCATGGTTACTCTGGCTGCAACCACTCTGAGGGAGGCCACGCCCACCTCAGTCTCCTGTTCAAGCCTACTCTGGCCTTCTTGAAACGTCACCACTTCGGGACCATCCCAAACGTCGCTCTCGGCTGGTTTCCGCCTTCACACTCCCCCTGGCTGACCTGGTGAACTTGTGCCAGGGGCCCAGGCACGGGCAGCGTCTGCGCTGTCTCTGTGTGCATCTAACCTGCTCCTCGCCATAGCTGGGGCCAGGCTGGCAGCTTCAGCGTGATGTCTTCTCTGTGTCACCCGCCTGCTCTCTGAAGCAGTGACTTTGCAACATCCGAACCACAGGCGGACCCCTGAGCCACCTGCCAGTGAGGCTGCGAGGGGAGCGGGGCAGAGCTGGGGGGCTCCGTCCTCAGCCTGCTTTGCCGAGCTGGCCCATGGCCTTGGTGGCCTGCCTGGGCCTTTCTCCTGCCTTCACTGTGCCGGCTGACGAGAAGGCTGTACGATACAGAGTGTGAACCCTGGATTTGTCCTGTCTGAGTTCAAGTTCAGAGTCCACTTCCTAGAGGTTGGGTAACCTCAGGCAGATCAGCCCTCTGGACTTCCCCTTCCTTTGTTTTCATTGTGGAAAAATACACTTAAGATAAAATGTAGCCTCTTAACCATGTTCAAGTGTATGGTTTAGCCACACCTGCAGCCGTTTTGTGGAACTATAACAGAACACCCCAGGCTTGCGGTTTTATAAAGAAAAGGGGCTTACTTACAGCTCATGGTTCTGGAGGCCCAGGATTCTGGCGCCAGCATCTGGCAAGGGCCACGTGGTGGAGTCACACACAGCCGAGACGCGGAAGGCGACCCTGTGTGCGCAGAAGGGACAGCCCTCGGGACTCCTCGCTATCCGATCCCGTGAGACCTGACCCACTCCGGGTCCCTTCCGAGCCACAGGCCCAACACCCAAACGTCTCCAGCTCAGCCTGCTTCCCAGAGTGTCCCCACCTGGTGCATCAGGGACCAAGCTTCCAGAGCGCGACACTCAGGGCACAAGCCCCGTGCAACCCACAGCAGTGGCACCGGGACATCCACGGCTGTGCCACCCGCCCCCCTCCTCCTGTGAGCCCACCAAGCCATGCCCGCCCCCCAGTCCCGTCACTGCCAGCCCTGACTGCCACCCCTCCCCTTGCTTCTCCATGGATTCAATGCCTCTCTGCTCCTCACTTGAGTGGCATTAGTCCTTGTCCCTTCTTGATAGGCCTATGGGCCTCAAGTTCATCCATGTGGTTAGACGTATCAGAATTCCCTTTTTTTTTTTTTAAAGATTTTATTTATTTATTTGAAAGTCAGAGTTACACAGAGAGAAGGAGAGGCAGAGAGAGAGAGAGAGAGGTCCTCCATCCGCTGGTTCACTCCCCAAATGGTTGTAACAGCCGGAGCTGAGTCAATCCAATGCCAGGAGCCAGGAGCTTCTTCTGGGTCTCCCACACAGGTGCAGGGGCCCACACACTTGGGCCATCTTTTACTGCTTTCCCAGGCCATAGCAGAGAGCTGGATCAGAAGGGGAGCAGTCAGGACTCGAACCGGCGCCCATATGGGATGCTGGCACTGCAGGTGGTGGCTTTATCTGCTATGCCACAGCACTAGCCCCACACCTAATCTTTACTTTGGGGTTGGCACCCTCCTCACATACATACTAGCCATTAGCTCCTTCTGGGCTGGAGGGTGAGTTCACATTGAGCCCCTGCCCCTCCCCACACTGCCCCTGGCCCCCCATACAACTGCCCACCAGGGAAGAAAAGGGAGGGAGGGACCAGCAGCTTCTCTGCGTGGGAGATGGATCCCTGGCATGAGAGAGCAGTCTCCACGCTGATTCCCCCCCATCTTGAGGCACTGCCTCCGAGCCAGGTGCTGTGCGGGGAGCCATCGCAGCACCCGCTGGCCAGCTCTCATCCCAACTGCCCAGGAAGTGCTCCCCAGCGGGAGGGCAGAGCCAGGGCTGGGCAAGAAAGAGGCCAGTCCAGAAACTCTTGGCTGAGTCCCCAGCTACAAGGCAGTGTTGCAGGTGTCAGTGCTGCGAGGGAAGGAAATGAAACACGCTTGGTGCCAGTGCCAGGGCCAGCAGGGAGGACACAGCCAGAGGGTGCTGCGGACCAGAGATGGCTTCTCTGTCGGTGTCCTTGCGGAAGGTACCACCTGTCTGGATTCCAGAGCCTCCTGGAGCAGTTGCATGGACAGAGCTAGGCACAGGGCATGGCGAGGAGTTGGGGGAGAGCATCCAAAACCTCCTCCCGCCTGATGGCTCTGTTGGGTAGCCCAGGTGCCCTGCACTGGGCACCTGTAAGATCAGAATACTCCCCGCCTCCACGGACAATTCTAAAACTTAGAATCTTGCTTTGTCACTCTGCAGACCCAGCCAGGAAGCGGAGCTGGCGCAGGACTGCCGGCCTTGGGAGTTATCGGGGTCAGGAGGACGCACGGTTCTTGCTGCCGTGAATAAGAGATGACCGGGCCAGGGAGCTCCTGCCGTTGTGGCCTCTCCTGATACCGCATCCCCATGTAAAGGAGCACACGGCCCCGCAGTGGAAGCCGGATTCTCGTCTCCAGCTTCTCACTGCTGCCCTGCACAGAATTCCAGTCCCGTCCCCTGTGCCGTGGGACTTGGCGGTGCCTTCCGCTGTAAGGGAGGTACAGCCTGCCTCGTTCTCCACGGGGGCTGGTTCCAGAAAACCCTGCACACCTTCCTGCTGCAGAAGCAAATCCAAAACCCAAGGATGCTCAAGTGTCTTCCATAAAATGGCCATATGATTTTTGGATATACTCATATATATATGTGTATATATATATGTATATGTATATTTAAGATTTATTTGCTTGTTTAAAAAACAGGGCTACAGAGAGAGAGAGAGAATCCTCCACCCACTGGTTCACCCCCCAAATGGCTGCAATGGTCAGGGCTGGGCCAGGCTGAAGCCAGGAGCCAGGAGCTTCATCTGGTTCTCCCACATGGGTGAGGGACCCAAGCACTTGGGTCATCCTTCACTGCTTTCCCAGGTGCATTAGCAGGGAGCTGGAATGGAAGTGGAGCAGCGGGGACTCGAACTGGCGTCCATGTGGGATGCCGATGTTGCAGGCAGTGGCGTAACCTCCGGGGTCACAGCCCTGGTCTGGCTCCCTCCTATGATCCCATGATCACTTATACAGCGCCTAATATCACATAAGAAGTTGTTACATTGTATTGGTTGGGGAATAATGACAGAGAGAAAAGTGTGCACGTACTCATCAAAGATGCAATTTTCATTTCTCCAAAATGTGTTTGTTTTCATTGTATCTGAAAGGCAGACAGAGAGAAGGGGACAGGCAGGCAGAGAATCTTCCATCCAAACACATTAGCTCACTCCCCGGCAGCCATGCCGGGACCAGGCCCAAAGCCAGGAGCTCAGTCCAGGTCTCCCATGTGACCGGCAGGGACCCAAGTATGTGAGCCGTCACCTGCTGCCTTCCCAGGGCGCGCATGTGCAAGAAACTCGATCCGAAGCTGGTGTCCCAAGAGACGTCCCGACTGCTGCTCCAAACGTCCACACCTGCAATTTTCTTTTGCGAACAGTTTCCGTCCCTGGCTGCTGAAGCACCTGGACGAACAGTGGAGCCAAGAGACTGCGCTGGCCAAGCGCTGGGAGCGTGGGAGGCTCTGTCCCCGGTCCCGCCGCCCCCCAGGCTTACCCAGATCCAATGCAGAAAACCCAGACGGAGGCTCCTCTTCCTCACCCCATCCTGCAGAGGCGGGATCGCAACCAAGAGAGGTTGGGAGTGTTTCCTAGGGCGCCCCCCTGGGGCCCCTGCCTGGCTGGCATCCCAGCCTCCCCGCGCCTCCTCCTCCCTCCTGCCCACTTAATGAAGTCATTTACTTCGCACAATAGAACAGAAAATGCATCAGTTCCTATCTTTGTCCCCTCACACGGAGCTCCTGCGGTCTTTGTTTCCCCGGGGTGCTCATTAGTGACCAGCTGAGCTGGCCTGGGGCTGAGACTGGGCGTGCCAGGGACGTGGGTGCCAGCGTGTGTGCGGCCAGAGGAATTTGTGAGGGATGTCTGGGTGGGGCCTGGCTGCCGGCACAGAGCTCTGGGCGTGGAGCAGCGAGGTTCTGGCAAGTCTGCAGGCCCTGGAGCGGCTGGGCTGGGAGCCTGGACAAGTCGGCTCTCTTGGAAGCCCCTGTATCCTGACCTGGACATTGGCGGTGATCGATCCTGTAGGTTAACTCCTGTAGAGCTCTTAGCACGGTGCCCGCAGTGCTGGAGCTGCGAATGTCAGCTCCTATGGCTCCTTGGCCACGGCTGTGACCTTTAAAACATCATAGGGTTAGCTGTGGGGTCAGCAGATCGGCGTCTGTGCGTGGCCTTGCCTCTTCGGCGCTGTGTGACTTCAAGTACACTGCACACCCTCTCGGAGCCCCAAACTAATGACCCCAGAGGTCCGAGTGGAATGCATGGAGCGGGGTGACGTGAACGGTGAAAGAGATAGCCGGGTGGGTGCCTCGGCAGCTTAGCCTGGCGGCTGATTCATCTGACCGTGTGCCAAATTTTACAGATGCATTTTAACGCATCAAGCCGTCCCAACCACCGTCCACCATCCGCCATTCACCCACATGGACGCGGAGTCCAGCCGAGTTCCAGTAACTTGTCTGAGACTAAATGACCAACAGCCAAAGCAGGAAGCCTGCCTTGTGGCAGCAGAACCCAACATTTGTGCTTTTAAGCATGGTGCCTCCCACCCCGTCCTCACCTGTGCGCCAGTCTGCAGGTGAGTTCCCGCCTCCATCCAACGCATGAAAGGAGTCACCCATGTTAACGCAGGGGGAGGAAATCAGGGCAGGCTTTCTGAAGGAAGTGGCAGTTAAGCCTTGAAGGGTGGGTCAGAGTACCAGTAGCATTGCAGGGGAAAAAAAGGCCCAGGAAGGGCACGCGAAAAGCGCAGCGGACAAGAGTCTCAGGCATGCATTAGAGGAAGCCAGTGGTCTCTCTCGGGGGATGGGGTGTGGTGGGCGTGGGATGAGAGACTCCCTCAAAGCTAAGAAGCCTTAGCAAGCCTTGACCCTCAGAGCCTTAAATAGAACAGGCTTAGACGTGGCCCTGCCAGCTGCCTCCCGGCTCAACATCACCTGTCACCAACTGCGCCTCAAACGGTGCCTGCGACCCCGATCCTGAGACAGAGCTGCCCTCAGTCTAGGGCGAGGCTGGCTAAGGTCAGTGCTATGGGCACCCGGGGCTGCTGGTGCACTGGAGGTTGGCAGTGCTGACCCTGGACACCCCCCCAGTCTCCTCTAGGGAGCACTCTGCGCCCACACTCAGATCTGCTGCACCTGTGACCCCCGAATGGCAGCCACATAAACCCCAGGGGGCGCCTCCCCGCCCCCAACCTCAGCGCTGCGGGCCAGAGAGCAGGCAGCATTGTCCCCCACCCCCCAAGACAGATGCACTTGCTGCCGGCGCACCCACACCCCCTCAGCCATTATCCCACAGCACAAACACAGTGCCCGTGGAGGCCCGACATCGATTTCGGCAATCATGATAAATCTTGGTGATTTTCCAGAGGTCAGCAGGCCTAAGGCACCGCAACACTGTGGCTGCTAAATTGCCATAAATCACCCTCATCCCTCTGCAGGGCAAACCCAACCTTCTTGTTTTCCTGCCACTTTTTTTTTTTAATCACAAAGGCAGTGGCACGATAAGGAGGTGAGGGAGCCGAGTGGACACATCCAGCCAGCCATCACGCACGTTGGGCCGGGCGCGGGCTGCGTCTTCCTGTAATGACAGGTGCCCGGGCTACACAATGCGCATCTTCTGCCTGCCTCCTGCGTGTTTCTACTTCGCATCCCACAGTGCATCAAAAACATCTCTTTGTGTGGCTCCAAGAACTCCTGGTGTTCCAGGCCTGCGGTGCTTTGCCCACAGCAAGTGGCGAACTCCCAGGAGGGAGATCGTGTTCCTGGGTGGGGCCCTGGAAGTCGGTGGGCTCCTAAACACAGCTGTGGGCTTCACCCTGAAGCGGGGCTTATATGTGTGCGCAGCTCCTTGGGGCAGGGTGGGGGTGGGGTTTAAACTTCTGCTGCCTGCCTCATCCTTACAAAAACTTGGCACTGACCTCAAAGACAGTTTCAGAGGATGAGAAGCCCGGACAGCCCCTTGGGCAGGGCCCCTGAGGCTCTGAGAGTTCTGAATTCTAAGGATCAGGAGCCCTGTGGCTTTGCAATTGAAGAATGTTGCTGGGGCCGAGGAGGCAGCTGGCCTCTTAAGGCCTCCAGACCCTGTAGCTGCGAAGGTCTCGGGGAGAGCCCGGCGCTGTGGCATAGTTGGGTAAGGTCGCTTCCTGCAGCACCGGCCTCCCATATGGGTGCTGACTCGAGTCCGGGCTGCTCCACTCCCAATCCAGCTCCCTGCTAATGCACCTGGGAAAAACAGCAGAGGATGACCCAAGTCCTTGGGCCCCTGCCACCCACCATGCAGACAGAGAAGAAGCTCCTGGCTCCTGGCTTCAGATTGGCCCAGCTCTGGCCATTGTGGCCATTTGGGCATTGAACTAGCAGATGGAAGACCTTTCTCTCTGTCTCTGTTCCTCTCTCTCTATCTGTAACTCTGCCTCTCAAATAGATAAATAAATCTTAAAAAAAAAAAAAAAAAAAAGACATTGGATACTTGGATAGCAAGGGTTTCTGATCCCAAAAGTGCCTCAGGGGCCTGGAAGGGGCAGGCAGGGTGACCCCAAAGCATGACACAGAGCTCCTGCTGAGGGAAGGCCAAACTCAGACCCTCTAGAGCTGGGCCATGCATACAGACTCACCTTTCCGGGGACCAGGGGGAGGGGTGGTCCAGGTCACTCTGAGCAGGCGCTGCCACACACTGGTTCAGGCAGCCTGTGTGGCACCTGTTCTGTTCCAAACACCACTCCAGACCTGGAGACCCACGGGTGAGCCAGCCCACCTGAACTTGTCTTAGGAGGGGGTGAGCCCACTGACCACGCCCATAGCTTGTAGGAACTTGGAAAATGGCCCCGTGAGGAGCAGGAGGGAGGGGGCTGTAATGAAGTGCCCAGCTCAAGTGCCCGGTCTGAGTCCCAGCAACCCAGTGCTTCAATCGAGCTTCCTGCTGCTGCACCTGGAAGGCAGCAGCCGATGGCTCCAGTGCTTAGATTCCTGCTGCCCATGTGGGAGACCCGGATGGAGCTGTTGGCTCCTGGCTTAGGCCTAACCCAGCCCTGGCTGTTGCAGGCATTTGGGGGGTGAGCAAGAAAACGGAAGAGCTCTCTCTCCACTCCTCCCCCACCCCACCCCATCACTCTGCCTTCCAAATAAACAAATAAATCTGTTTTTAAAAAACAAAGGGGCCGGCACCGCGGCTCACTAGGCTAATCCTCCGCCTTGCGGCGCCAGCACACCGGGTTCTAGTCCCGGTCGGGGCACCGGATTCTGTCCCGGTTGCCCCTCTTCCAGGCCAGCTCTCTGCTGTGGCCAGGGAGTGCAGTGGAGGATGGCCCAGGTGCTTGGGCACTGCACCCCATGGGAGACCAGGATAAGTACCTGGCTCCTGGCTTCGGATCAGCGTGGTGGGCCGGCCGCAGCGTGCCAGCCATGGCGGCCATTGGAGGGTGAACCAACGGCAAAGGAAGACCTTTCTGTCTCTCTCTCTCTCACTGTCCACTCTGCCTGTAAAAAGAAAAACAACAAAACAAAAAAAAGAAAAAACAAAGGGATTGAGGATGGTCTCGGAGCCTGTCTGGTGAGGTGGGTTTCAAACTGAGACTTGAGGAGGAGGAGACGGGAGGGCCTGGCTGAGCTGGAGGAACCACGAGGGGGCAGGGCAGGCGCGGGATGCGGCCCTCCACGCCCAGCCAGGCGGCCAAGGGGGGCCTCAGGCCTGAGCGCAGTCCTGAGTGGAGCAGCAAGCGCCCGGCAAGTGCGGGTTTCACACCACGGCCCCGGCTGCTTTCACGCTCGCTTGCGGATGTGCGCAGAGCAGCGAGCAGTCCGTCCGCAGCGCCCGCGTCTCCAGTGGACGTGGAGCAAGATGGCGCTGCGCTTTTTCCCTCTTGCACATTGGTGGTTTTGTGGATGGCTTCACTGCCCAAGACAGCCCCCAAATGTAGTGCTGAAGCGCTGTGTAGTGTTTCCTAGCGCGAGAAGGCGGCGTGCTCCTTACAGATAAAATGCACCTGTTGGGAAGTTCCGGCTTGCGTTCCGTGGAGTGGATCAGCCACGTGTGGTAGACGAGACGTTTCCGAACAGCAGACAAGCTCACGAAGCTGTGTCCAGCCAGGCTGGTGGAAACGTTGTGACCCGGACGCCCAGGGGAACCCCACCTTGTGTTTCCCCTAGGAGCTGCGGCTCCCTATTTCCTACTCCAGTGTCTGCGGCTGCTCCATAGAGGGTACCTACAGCGAATAAGGGGAGTTTCGGAGATGGCGCCAACAGGATTTGCCATGGGGCTTCCACGCAGAGGGAGGAGGGAAAAGCAGGATTTGCTCACTTTCTAACTGCCCCCAAGGCCACGCTGGTGCCCAGGCTCAGCCTCCGACCCGGGGGCCTGGGGCGAGAGTAACAAGAGAGGCCTCTGGGCCGGCGCCGCGGCTCACTAGGCTAATCCTCCGCCTAGCGGCACCGGCACACCGGGTTCTAGTCCCGGTTGGGACGCCGGATTCTGTCCCGGTTGCCCCTCTTCCAGGCCAGCTCTCTGCTGTGGCCAGGGAGTGCAGTGGAGGATGGCCCAGGTGCTTGGGCCCTGCACCCCATGGGAGACCAGGAAAAGCACCTGGCTCCTGGCTCCTGCCATCGGATCAGCGCGGTGCGCTGGCCGCAGCGCGCCAGCCGCGGCGGCCTTTGGAGGGTGAACCAACGGCAAAAAGGAAGACCTTTCTCTCTGTCTCTCTCTCTCACTGTCCACTCTGCCTGTCAAAAAAAAAAAAAAAAAAAAAGAGAGGCCTCTTGTCGCTCCCCCTCTTCGTGGAGGAACGACACAGGACCCTGCGCTGTTCTTTCGTCTGCTCGGCCCTCCCCGGGTTTGCTGCTGGTTCTTCCCCGGGTTGACTACCGTCCCTTCCACCTCCGTGGAAGGGCGGTTCCCCCTGCCACATTCCCCACTTC